GATTAAGGAACAACGCAATCGGCAACATTAACTGAATTAGATAACTTTAGCTTAGCGTATAACTCCGTTACAATTTAAATGCGCATGCGCACAAACATATTCGCAGCCGTAAGGGTCTTACGCGCTCTCGTAAACGCCTGTGCGCATGCGTGAACGCGACGCATGCGCAGAAAGTTTGTAGCTTTGAGGTCCGGATTATGGGTGTCCGAATTAACGACTTTTGACTGTATATAACTGTCTTAATTGTCTTGGTAATGCTTTCTCATTTTTCTGTTTAAATTCAAATGGCTTGAAATCTGTGAATATCATAAATCCTTGTCCTTCAAGCATATGTTAAAATTGTTTGATGGTAAGATAGGTACTTAGAAGATCCTGGTCATGTGTGTTATAAGCATTTTAAGTGTCACTTAACTCTTTAGAATGGAATAAATTATATTGATTTCCAGTCTTCGTCTTCATATTGCTGTGTCCTGTGAATTTAGAGGCATTTGTACATAAAGCTAATGTTAGATATGGATTATGGAATGACAAAAATTGGCGATTTTTGGTGGTACATGGATACCGAGTTTGTGCAATTCTTTGACTTGTTATTTTGGCTTGTGTAGCGGCAATTTTTGCAAAAACATCCCAGAATTGCACAAACTAGGCATTGTGCACTTCCTTGACTTCGTCCATCTACACATCAAACTATATTCACTTAAAAATTCAAAGGAACAGCCAACAAAAAATTTATAATCTCAATAAACTACATTTTAAATCAAACAATGAAATAACATAAAAAAGGAAATTCATCTTTGCACTAAAAGGAAATATCCACTTACCTTATTTATGAGTTAACAAGTCTTCAGTCAATTCCTTAACAGCTGCTTCAGTTCCATTAGCTGCCAATTCAATCAATTCCATTAGCTGCCAGAAATATCCATCATGGATATCCATCGCCGTTATGATCAATGAAACGGCCGGTATTTTCGAACATGTCCACCAATCCATGTCACGTCAGCGTTGTGCATGCATGCATGCCAATGGCCGCAATTTCCTGTGATGCTTTTATGTCATACTTTTTATTTATTATTGTTTTATTTTATTTATTTATTTATTTTGTCTAATAAAGCATTTTACACTACATTCTGTGTTGTGGCCTTACTGTTTTTGTGTCTCTTTATCTCACTACGGTTATGTTTCCATCTGTGCTTTCTGATGTGATTATGACTCTTCGCGATATTCTCTACCTCCCCTCCAAAGTTTGTACACGGCATTCAGAGACACCCTGCATATATATTTAGGTTCAATTTGTGAGACAATGAAGTTAAATTCGGTGTCTCCATTAGCTGTACAATTAATTTTAAATTGTGCTTCTACCTGTTAAATCCAAATTTCTTTCTTATCCAAAAAGGAGGAATTTTTACTCTTACCTTCATGGTTACAGAAGAATTAGCACTGTTTAGTTGGCTTTTTGTCGTCTCGCTATTTGCCATAATATTTAGTGTTACTAACTCGGGTCACCAATGAGTTTAGTGGTTGTTACATAACAAAAATGTTATTTTTCTGTTTGAGAATAACTTCTCACTACTATATTTGTAAGAAAATTATTTATTACTTTTTAAGACATATATCTTTTTAAAGCATTATTCTAACCTTTTTTTTTTTTTTTTTTTACATTGCCATTCGCAGTCTACATAAAGCTGTAGAAGCAGAGATTATATATCGTTTGTAGAGGTTACTTTCATTTTGTTCATATTTAACTTCATTTGGAATAAGCAGACCATCTGTATCCACATAGAAAAATGAAAATGAAATTGATTCATGCAAAATTTTAATGAATTTGAAAAAAAAAAAAAGGTTTGTATACAGTTAAATAGTACAGAGGAAAGTAAAAATATCATCATCATAAAGTATGTTGGAATTCTTTTCACTGAAAACCAAAGATGAAAAATCACATAAGTTTAAATGTTGAAAACTGAAGTTTCATTTAAAATTTGGCAGAGAAATATCAATTATTTCTAACAGCTGTAATGAGATTAGTTTGGAAAATAACTCTTTTAAATTGACCACTGAATAGGATGTTGGAAATTTTTTTAATTAGACATTGATTATTGACCAATTATTAAAATTCACAATTCAGTAAGGATCTATAAATACCTCTCAATGAAATATAATAGTATTAAAAAAGTGAAATGTTTCTCAAAAATCACAGTGGAATGTCTTTATTCAAGAGACTAACCTAACATTGAAGAAACTGAAAGAACTTGATTAATGTATTCTGTAAAATTAATTAGTGTATTTTATTTTAGTTGCAAGTTGTTGCAACTAAACAACAAAGAGTTTGTTATTTTCTAGATTAACAACATTTCTCTTGGTATGAAACAAGTATGGAACATAATAAAATTGTAAATTATTGATCAATGACAAGAAAAATTAGTGCTTTAAGAAGAGACTGTTGTCAGCAATTATGGAGTATTGTTACCATTATGAAAGCTATTTGCTATTTATAGCTTTTTTAATTGTTTATTTATTTTATTTATGAAATTGTTAAAATTTATGAAAGCTAAGCTGTTTATTTATGAACAGTCTAGCTTTATGTTGTTATATGTATTATTTAACATATATATAGGCTAGGCTGTTCATAAATATTTGTGCTAGGCTGTTCATAAATATTTGTTTTATTTACGAAAGAAAGGAGCCCACCAGCGGCCGAGCGGTAAAGACGCTGAACACTGGTAGTTCGGTCCGAGGTTCGAATCCCGCGAACGGGCTGGCTGCATGGGCGTTTTCGTGGTTTTCCCCATGTGTAACGTGTATACGAGCCAGTTTCCCTTAGAAAGTCCTCCACGAAAGGCATCCCTCCCCTTAGGCAGATAGCCCTAGTGTGCTTTGCCATAATTAAATACACACACACACATACACACATTTATTTATGAAAGCTTGCTTTTAGCAGAGCAGTTTTAGGTTTCAAGTGTAAAAGTAATGTATTGTATAAATTAAACAATAGACATTGTTAGATGTATTAAATGTCGGTGAAATTTGACTTTTTAATTTTAGCAGCACATTTATAACATAACATAATCTTAACATGTTAAAAGTTGTGTACTTCAGTTACTTAGGCCATGCTTTTCAGTGTGCATTTAGATCTGTATCATCATAAATTAAAGTTAAAAAAAAATTAAAAGAAAGCAAAATATTTATTATTTCTCAGCTCTATGCCAGATGTAGTATTTTTAATAATTACTATAAATGTGATATATTCACAATTCTGGTGTTGCATTGTTATTATTAGGAATTATTTCTCAGATTTTTATCGTGTATTAAATACATTGAAGGAAGTTTTATATAATTACCACTTAAGAGAACTATTAACAGATTAATGAATTTGATGTTAAGTATGCACAGACAAGGATGTGATTATGGAGCAAATGTACTTGATAAGCATTGTGGATTGTAGAACAAATTAAGCAGTGTAAATCCTACAGTTTTTTCTTATACCTTGTGGATCCTTTGTGAATCTCGTTCATTAAATTAAGCTATAAATGATGCTGCCAAAGTAATATTTGAAAAAAATTAAATTCTGCAATGCTAAACACAAATTATGTGTATCCCCCCTGCATCTCTTTACAGATGAAGCATCTTAAATAGTAGTGAAATGCAGCCATTTCATACAGGTTAGTGAGAATTGCTTCCTAAAATTTATTCAGTTTAGTGAACTGATTATTAAAATTTAATTGTAATGCTTATTTAAGTAGTTTATTGCAATTAGTAATTAGTTTTATCTTGTATCTACTCAGCAAATCAGTTCTAAGCGATTTTAAATCCTTTTACTGATAATAAACTATATTAATAGGCAAAATCTGTAGGGGTACAACAAGGATTACTAGAATATAAACAGGACCTTAAGAACTGAAGATGTGAGACTGGCCATTAAAGTATACGTCAGTGACTTTATTGTGTAGTCTGCATCTGTAGTTATTTTAAAGAAATCTTTTCACTTGTATCTGCATTCTTTAATTACAATAGGAGGTACTTGAGCACTGCATTTGGGATACTGAAATTCAGAGTTATTTGCAGTTTTGGTCTCAGTATTAGATTTAAAATTTAGGATTAAAATGGATGGAAAACAGTACTTCAATAAAGGGCACATAGAATGTGCCCTTTCTGAAGCACTGTTGGAAAATTATCATCTCTGTGACGTGCACCTGAGGCACAAATGGGGAGCGTACTGAAAAATTGTGAAAAGCTAATCAAAAATCTAATTTACAAACTACTAGCAAAGCAATCAACTGAAAGTGGTAGTACATAGTGATCAGCTTTCAGTCCTAGAATGCTTTATCTCATTGTAGCATACATAAGGAAGAAAAACTCATTTAAAGCTGCACTTAAATTTAAGAGTCGATTTCTAAAATCAAATTTAATGGCTAAAGCACTCAGAATGCCAAAACAATGGATTTAAAGGCTTATGATCTCAGAAAACCAGGTGATTTGTTAAATCTCGCTTAACACTGTCATTAAAATTGTTGTGAATACAGTCTTAAATATAACCAGTTGTACCTAAGGAAGGATGTGTCACGATTTCAAAATAATTTAACATAGTGGGACAACTCTGCATGTATGTTTTACATTCCCAGGTTCTGAATATTTGGATTCAAACACGTATTTTGCATTGTTGTAAATCTTGTGCTTTACTTTAAATACCGTATATACCCGCGTATAAGTCGACCCCCCACTTTGAAGTCTTTTTTTTGTCCAAAATATCTCGACTTATACGCGGGTATATACGGTAAGTGTAATCATAAATCTTAGTCTTACAAGTTTGCAAATTGTGACAAAAGGTAATTTTTTGCTTATACAAATTTTAGTTCATGATTCCAATTATCTGATAACTTAAGGGTACATAAAAAGGAATATGATAGGTTACAAAATGTAGGATTTTTTTAAACAATAAATGTCATACTCAAAAGTTGGAGATATTTCTAATTTTGTATTTAATGTATCGAATATTATATTCTTAGGGAAGAAGTGAAAGAAATTCTTCAGAAAAAGAAGGAAGGTTCAAGAACACTTGCAGCATGGGAAGAAAAAATGAATGAAGTGAGTCTTTCAGTATTTGCTCATTTTTTAATCCAATTCGTTAAAAGTTTTGTATATAATAGCTAAAAAATAATTTTTTTAGTTAAAATTCTGCTTCTGAATTTTTTTTTTTTTCCTATATCTTTTAGTTGCTAAGTTATATTTAGAAAAATTCTGAAAAGACCAAAAATTGTTATTTTTAGTATGCAAAAAGATAAATTAAGGAACAGTGGAATAATATTGGTGATTAAAAGTTTAATATCGGTTTGGACAAAATTCAGGAGAAACACACATATGGTTAGCAAGAAATAAGTTTAGCGTTAAGTGGATTTTTGTACTTGAATGATCCAAACAAGATAAAATTTAAACTACAGGGGATTAAAATGACGTGCTTACATTTATTAAATAAAATATTTTAGTACAAAAATCCACCCATAGGCGGCACTGCTAGCACACATAAAAACACTTAATAGGCTTTAGAAATGTTGAGTGTGCTGTAATGCAAATGATATTTCACATTTTCAATATATGCAAATAAATACCATTTGTAAGTGTCACCTATTGGCAGATTTTTTTATACTAAAATTTTTTATTTAATAAATTTCAAGTGCATCATTTGTACATAATGAGGAGTCAAATCCTTCAGCTTTGTTTCTTCTTTTTGGGTCGCTGTACTTGCATATGCTTCAATATGGAATTATTCAATTCAGAATGAGCAAAATCAGAGAAGAAGGTGTGGCCGTACAGTAACCATTTTTTATGAATTGAGTACTCTGGTACATAGACTGAGTTTGTACATATATATATAGTTATATGAAATATTGATTCAAAATGAAATATTTTGGGAATTCTGGATATTTATAAATTTTAGGACTTAGAACAGCATATGTGCAGTTCCACAAAGATTTATATTTGAAGATATATTATATGTACAGTCCCACAAAGATTTATATCTTATATCACAAAACCTGCTAAGATGTTTTGTGTATGATGGTAAACATTTAGTTGCTACTGGAACGGATATGGGAGATAATTTGTATTCTCTTGATTTATGTAATGAGTGGGCTTTAATTACTGATCAAAATATTTCAAACGAGAATTATTACATACAAGAGTAGGGCCATTTAAGTGAAGAAGAGAAATGACCAGATTAAAAGATATGGTCGAAGGTTTCACATTTAACAGAAAAAATTGTTAAATTGTGTGTCATGCATTAAAGGCAAAATGCATAGACAACCATTTCCCAAGGGAAAAGCTAAGCGTGCAAAAGAGTTATTAGGCATAGTACACAGTGATCTTGTGTGGGCCTATGAATGTTACATCAATTGGTGGTTCTTGCTACTTTATTAGTTTTATTGAATTATTTGTCACGAATGACTTTTGTGTTATTTTTTGAAAAATAAATCTGAAGTTTTTGAAATCTTTGAAAATTCAAAGTATTTCAAGCATTTGTTGGAAAGGCAAACTTGGCAAATCAATCAAAATCTTACATGTTCAGGTATAATGGTACTGAGTATGTAAACAATGAGACGGATAACCATTTAGCATCAAATGGAATTCAGCATCAAAAATCTATTCCATTTACACCAGAGCAAATTTAGGTGTAGCTGAACGTAGTAACAGAACTCTCGTAGAGCGAGCACGATCAATGTTGGTGGAATGCTCACCTTGATCAAAATTATTGGGCTGGAAGCAGTGCAGATTTGCAAATCACTGTACGAAAATATCTTCCAACTATATTGCAGTTGCAGGTATGACTCCTTATGAAAAATGGTATAGTGGATAAGCCAAATTTAGAATACTTGATAGTATTTGGATGGTCGTGTACTTGCTTTGCTCACATTCCAAAAACAAAAACATAAAAAGTGGGATATAAAAGCAAAGGAATTAATGCTTGTTGGGTACTGTCAGGATATAAAAGGCTATCGATTAATAGATCCCAAAACTTATGAAATAATAAATGCACGAGATGTACATTTTTTGGAAAATGAAATGTACTACAAAAAAAGGCAAGTAATATGCCAAAATTCTATGATGAATCCTCATTCAGTGGGAGCGTGATTACGACATTTTCAAATACTGAGAATGCAATAGCTGATGATCAGAACGGTGAATTGGAAGGGATGGTTAATGATAATACTCAGTCTGATCATGAATTAGTTAATACTAGTATTAAATCTAATCACGATGAACATAATACTGCTCAAAATGATAGCCATGATGACAGTAGTGTATTTGATGAGCTACCTATGTTGACTAGAAACAGAAAACTTAGATTCCCAAATAGTTATCAGGACTTTGACACACACGGGATGCCAGAAATGCCAATGCCAAATTTAGATCGAATGTGCTTTGTTAAAGCTTTGGCAGCAGCAACAAATGGTGTGTATTCTGAACCGAAAACCATTGATGAAGCATTAAGGGGCAATGATGTAAACCATTGGAAGGATTCTATATGTGAGACTATATTAGACCATATTGAAAAAAAAAAAAAAAAAAAAAAAAAAAAAAAACATGGGAAATAACAGATAAACTTTATGATAAAAACATTGTAGATTGTAAATTAGACCAAAATCAAGTGTTATCTAAACTGCAGATACCAACTAGTGAGGAACAAAAGCTACCTGTTCCTTATCAGGCTGTCATTGGGAGTCTTCTTTATGCAGCTCAAGTAACACGGCCAGATATAACTTATGCTGTGAATTTCCTTAGCCAGTTCTCCAATAATCTGGCAAGGGTTCACTGGAATGTTGTCAAGCGCATCATGCGGTATCTTCGAGCCACTACAGATGCTACATTGTCTTTTCAAAGGACTATAGTGTTGATGTCCTTGGTTACAGCGACTCAAACTATGGAGGTGATGCTGGGGATCGACGATCAACCACTGGATATGTTTTCCTCATCTGAGGTGGTGCAGTGTCATGGTGTAGTAAGCGTCAACCAACCATTGCAACTAGTACAACAGAAGCTGAATATATGGCTCTGTCTGCAGCTACTAAAGAAGCCATATGGCTCAATAAAATTGTTAAAGAACTTGGGATTATTACTGCAAAGCCAGTATTATTATACTGCGATAACAACAGTGCTATTAATCTCAGCAAAAATAGTGTGTATCAATGGTAGATCAAAACATATTGATATACAACATCATCTTCGTGCGAGAAGCTGTGAAACTTCAGCAAATTGATATACAGTATAAGACTACTAATGATATGATTGCAGACTTTTTTGACAAAAAATTATAAACAGTGCAAAACATGAAATGCGTGCAAAAATGATGGATTTAAAATGAAGACCAATGTAATATTATATGTTTTATGTGTACGTGCTGATGTAATTTTCTCATTGTATTTAATTAGGATGATGATATTTAAACCTAAAGTTGGGGAGTGTAAAAAGGGTTAACTTTAAATATGTTCTTGGCCCATAGATGGTGCCACTGTTTTTATATGCTTCTATCTCACTGTGCACTCCAATAAAACTTCACTTGTGTTCCAAACTCCCAACAGGTATGTTGTGTATTATTTATTCTCATGCATGCAAGTAACCACTCTCTGCTATATTGAGTTTCTAATAGCATTGTAATCTAAAAAAAATCTGTATTTGATAATAATAATTGTTAACACTGTTTTTAATCTTAAATTAGTTTTTAAAATAAAAAATTTCATAAATTTAATAGAATTTAGCAAATTATGATGGTAAAAAGAATTTAAAGACATATGTGAAACTGATGCCTGTAGAACAGTGGTTCATCATCAGACAGAAAATCATTGACCCTCTTTTTCAAAACTAGCAAATACACATAATACATTTATTTAGCTTGTTTTCTAACATTTTTTTTATAAATGAAACGACAAAAAGTAAATTGGTATAATGGTAAACACCAAAATTTGAAGAAAAGTAATTTGTTGTATTCATATATTCAAACTAAATACTTTATAGAATCTCATTCTCTTAGGTAACATTAACTTAATGACATCATTAAAAAACTTAAATTATAACTACGTAACATTTTCAGAACCAGCCTCTTATGATAACATGAGATTTTAAGTGTTAAAAGAAAGTCTGTGTTAAAAGCTATGTAGATTCTTTATCACAAGGTACAACTTTTCAGCAGCTCATAACCCTTCCAGAAAATCTGAAAGGAAAAAGACTTTAGGAAAATATTCTACAAACATGATGTATAGTAGACTAGAAGAGAAACACGCTAATGTGACAATCAAAACCGTGAAAAACAACCTTATATTTAGCGTAGGTATAATGATTAGCGAAGGTATTCATTATACCTACGCTAAATATAAGGTTGTTTTTCACGGTTTTGATGATGTATAGTTTTTAAAAAACAATTTAATTTTATCTGTATTTTCATTCTGCTTATTTATTCCACAATTAAATCTCTTCCCCTATCTCCTCGGAGGAATGGGAGTGTGATATCAAGACACTGTTTTTTGTAAGTGTGTTTGCAGACACTACCAGCTAACCAATAACCAATAACCTACACATTAATAGTACTTAAAAGTAAAAGTTACACAGCACATTCGAAACCTCAAAGATACTCTATTTTCAAAACTGCACCAAGACCGTGATTTCAACTTGAATGTTGGCTGTAGAGCCTAACTTAACTTATGCACACAGCTAATTTTAAGTTAATGTTTCTTAGTTTGATAGCTTGCACATTACATTTCATTCATACAATATAATTAAATTGTTATAACTAGGCAAGTCTTATTAAACTAAGCATATATATTTGTGAATACTTTTCACAAAAAAAACATAAAATGTAACACATTGAATAAACTATTTACAATAGAAATTTAACTTGCACTTTACATCAAGATCCACGAAATGCTTTGAAATTCTTAACATTTGCACATATGTTTTCTGATAGCAGTCTTTCAGATTAAAATTACCATCTTATTTCTCGGTAACATTAAAATAAGCATAGATAGTTGCAATTTAACTTTGAGCCACTTTTCTTACTTGGATGAAAAGTTTAAGAGAATTTATCAACTCGTCCTTCT